TGGCCTTATCCATACACACAACCAAGCGCACACTCCTCCATGAAGCGGACCATCCCACGTTCGACGCGGCCACTACATACTGACGCACCAAAAACAGCAAAAGGCAAAAAACCGCCAGCAAACACAACAGAGCAGCATACATTTCCTATGTAATCAAGCCTGTGTGCAAAATGCTACAAACGAGGATTCTCAACAAAAACTGTAATAGAGCACCAAAATCCATCCGTGCATCACCCAGCTCAATCCATGCGTTTTCAGCTTTGCTCGACTCGGATTCAGCAAGCCTAAAACTTGACGAAGTCTGTGCACCTTCTCGAAGGGAAGATTTTTAGATCTTATCTTGAATTGAACAGCTTTGGCTCTACGGTGGACAAATCAAGATTGGCTCGCGTGGTTTTTTCGCTGTGTCATGGGGGCTACCTTTGGAAAATCGCTAAATTTGGTAAATTTACCGTTTTACCGTGTTTTTACTCCTCGTTCCTGCCACCTCGAAATTTTACCGTTTTGCTCTTTTACCCCGCGCTTGTGCGCGCTCGACATTTTACTGTTTTACCGCGGGCCTTTGCAACGGAAACTACGTAACCAGAAGACACACCGCGAGCCAGCGCAGCTTGTGTGACTGTGTGTGTGCCACACTCTGTTTCTAAGAGTTTGGACCTTTCGTATTGCAAGCAGGGGCCAGCGGCCGACAAGCAAACGCTGGCTAACAAAGCTACGCTTGTTCGGTGGATGCGGTCAGAGACGTCTGACCGTGTACCTGCAGAAGTTTTCCATACGCTGTGACTCCACTTTTCCTCTGTTTGATTTCATGGTCCTTGCATGATAGATCCCTAAACCTCTTTTTCCACCGCTGATGTGCAGCCGCCTCTACGCTGAACGCTTCGCAGCCAAGTGAAACCACCACTGTTCAAACATCCTGTTTATCGCGGACTGTGCCACCTTTCCGTTCCCTCACTCATTTCCTCGGGGAATTGATGTAACTGCAAACCCATTGTCTAAGTGTGTGCCGCTCTGTCGTCCCACTCGGTACAGAGTGTGATCCCCGTCACTGGGGCGCTGAGACCATTCCGGATTGCCGTGTAACTGAATTTACGTTTTCTGCGCGCTTTGGATTATGGTTCTGGAATCACACGTGTCACCCATGAATTTCCAGATTCACGAGCTGCCGAGCCACGGAGTTTTCGCACCGCCGGGTACACGGAGACTCGTTGCACAGCTTTTGAAGTGTCAAGAAACATCCACGTCAGCTTTCTCAACCTTCCAGGACAGTACCTTTCAGGTTCCAATTTTCCATGCTATTTTCCATCTTTAACTTTTCTCGTACGCGAGAATGTTTCCATTCCAACTGGATTTTAATTTGCCACATTTAGATATGTTCAATGCACTTTCCATCACGCGTGATCTGTTTGTCTCTCTTGCAGCCGCCCCACCGCGCCGCGGCCGCCATACCTGCAGCCGCCGACAACAGCGCGTTGATCTTTTTGAGCAGTATGCACTTTCCATGGCCATACCCTTAGACACCGTGCCATCCACCTCAGGCAATGCCTGTTCCACATCCATTTCCACATCAACTACCACCGCACCTGCACCGTCCCACCCTGTTCCCATGATGCAACATCCCACATGGCCCTCACACCCTACTTTCTCAACACCACCGATCCCATTTACATACAGCTATCCTACAGCAATGCCACCCCAAGAGTTCTGTCATCCTCAACCTCATCCTGTTCCTCAACCACCTCTCACACCTCCAACCTCCTCAGCTCCTCAGCTCCAGCGCCTGCCACCGCCCAGCAACCTGCTACGCTCACGCGGGATCGTCGACAAGGAGTTTGGCAGCCACATCCTTTTCGGCTTTCCACCGGTACACCCCTCCAAACCTCCTACCACCGCTCAGGGGGTCGGGTCCACTGGCACGGACACCACCCATCCATCCCCTTAGCCAAGCTCAGCCCACCAAAGATTCCACCTCTGCCACATCCAACAACCCCATCCCAAGTCAACCGGCCTCCACTGATCAGACCCAGAGCAAGACCACTCAGCCATCTACCTCTCAGCAGACGCAGGCGACGCCGCCGCCGGCACCATGGCCGCCGCCGCCACCGCCGACGTCGTCACGAGGTCGCTCAGACAAGCAGCATCAGCATGGCTCTCGCCACACACACACCAATTCAGCCTCACACCGCGATCCATCCACATCGTACTCCTATTCTTCTTCCTCCCGCAGCCGCTCTCTCTCTCTCTCTCTCTCTCTCTTCTCTCTCTCTACCGAACTTACAGACCGAGACCATGACACAGCTGCAGCCACAGCCTACCCCACCTTTACCACGTCAATCACATTGCCATCCCCTCACTTGCCTCCAAAGCCTACCAACGCTTTCCACATCAACCTGCCCGTGCCACCAACACCACACCAGAAATTGCCACATTGTCGCAGGCCACACTGGCCCGGTCGGCAACATCACCAGCATCCTTCAACAAGGCCGTTTCCTCCCTAGCACACTTCATTTTCAACACAACAACGGATTTTTCACACAGGGCTTTCGAGCTACGCAACGATTTCCCCACGACCACGAAGAGAATGCTCGCATTATCTTCAACACTTGGAACCTTGCCAAGAACTCCCACTCAATCATTGTCACCCTCCTTGCCCGGGGCACCGGCAAGAAGATCACTCAGGGAGGCGAAGAGCAAGCTGCAAACCTCCTGCAACAACACCACGGCGCCGTCTTCCACCAAAACGGCCGATGCTGGGTGATCGACCCACGCAACGCCATTGTCCGTGGTCGCAGATGCCACTCCACCTGACCTAGAACAACATACCTACACTCCCACAAGGACCTACGGCCAGCAACCCCACCTGTACAACAGTCTCACCACACTTGTCTCACTTCTCCCACACTGCCGGATTCGTCCACAAGAAAAGTGACCTTCCGCATGTTCGAGCTTGGTAGAGTCTCGATTCGACCATGTGCCATGTCCAATGATTTCAAGGAAGCTGGGGGGCCGCGTTTGTTCTTCTGTGTTGGGTTTGTTTTGGACTTTGATATCCTCACCTGACATGGCTTGATTTAATTCACTGCTTCGTAATTCGTATTGCGCGCCACTTTTCCACCGCTCGTAGTGCTACATGTGACTTTCCGTGCTGCTGCAGCTGCCGGCGCTTGACTACATTGCGACCCATGTCCGCTCACATTGATGTGACCACCATCATTCAACGCACGACTGTCGCTTTGACACAACTACACCAACCTTTTCAGACAGCCGCAGACATCCTTCAAGACCTCCACAGCATCTACTTGGTCCACACCCATCAAGTGGACCCACACATTCACCAACCTTTTCCACCTCTCTTTTTCTTTCCCTCAACCTCCCAGCGCCACCCGCCCATCCACTCCCTCACCTACTTCTTCCTGCGATACACCTCCTCCACGTTCTTCTCATCCCCCTCCACCAGCGAAGCACTCCTTCCTCCCCCCAAACACCCACGCCTTCACCCACACCACAGCCACGACGCCGCAGTACTGGCAACACTGCCTTCAACACCAAGCCCAAACACCACAAGCTGGGACGCCAATGTCCTTCACGGCCACCAGCTGTTCCGCACCATACAACCCACACAATGGTCGCGCAAAGCGAGGATTGCCGGCCTTCCCATTTTTGATGTGTACCCTTGGGTACGGCACAGCAGACTTTACCGCCCGCACCTTGAGCCATGGTAAGTATTGCTGCCTAAGACCTACCTGCAGCGTCGCGGAGTCAGTCTTCATCACGCCTCTTTCGAAAGACTTGCGCGACCAGCGCTTGGATTTGGACGCCAGTGCTGAGGCCCTTCACAGAGCTCAGGGCAACGACGTCCCAAACAAGACCACCCAAGCCTGCGCTTACCTCGCCCCCCTTGTGGAACTTGTCACCCACCACCTAGCTGCCCACGCACCGGCCGCAGCGGAGGGATCAGCTGGAGGCCGTGTAGGTTTTGAGGAGGCTTGGGCTACCGCACATGTACCTGTCCTGGCTTCTTAGGTTTTTCACTTAGGCCGGCGTGTGGCAACCCGCAACCAAATCAGTATGCATGTCTATAAGTGTGTGTTTGTTTGTGTGTGTGTGTGTTTGTGGTTGTGGTTTTAAAGCTCATTTCGCCCAGAGTCTGCAGTTGGCCGCCATACGTTCTACTTATGCTGCAACCCGGGTGGCCTGGCATGGAGGTGCACAACTCTTGGACCTTGTGGGATAATTTGCGGCTCAGAGCTCCCTAAAAGATGTTTTGGGGTTCAGGCTCTTTGGGAAGCTCGATCAAAGATCTGGAACACAGCTACGACCTTGTGGTTGGAGGCACAACAGTTCAGCCTGCAGATGTGATTGGAGCATATTGGAGCTATATACATAATCATTATATGTGGCAAAGAAACAGACACAAGGAGGATGCGGGTTTCTTGCATTTCATAGAAGTTTGTTTGCAAACTTTGTGGCAAACATCAAACGACCGGGCACTGAGGAAAGTGTCCCAAGCGCAAAACTAGTGAATTCCGTTGTGGTCAGCAGTCCAAGTAGGAAGCTGAGTTTTGTTCTGGAAAGTTTGGGTTTTATATTGTGGACCCAGTAAGCAGCAAGATTTTGAAGAACAACCAAGTGTCAAGATCTGACAGGTTGGAGAGAGTGTGGAAAGCTGTACCGGGTTCAGACTTACTGCAAGTGCCGAGTACTGTAGGGTGAGTCTGTCACACATCAGACAAGTTTGAGTAAAGCTGGAGTAGCGTGGAAGATCGAAACAGATGACGTCGATGGAGGTCGCGTTCCCTAGCGTTGTTTCAAAGTTTTTCAAAGACAAAATGACACATGCAGCTTAGGCCAGCTCTTCCACCGCTGCAGGATTTCTTGAGCAAGCTTTGCGCAAGCAATATGGCGAAAAGAGATGAAAAGAGTGCAAATTTGGAACGTGCCGCACAGATATTTGCAAATCAGACTCATTTGATTGAAACATGTTGAATAATATTGAGCAGGTGGCACAAGGAACCAGCCCGGGCATGTGGCGCGGCGATCTCTTTGAAGAGGGTGGCAAGAGCAGTTCGCTCTTTGGGTTTGGGGTTATAGAATTCCATGTTGTTTTCTCATGACACAGGTTTTACGAAGAAGGACGGCGAATGAGAAGAGTTGAAGAACTAGTGAGAAAATGATAGAAATGGTTCAAAAGTGCTTGGATCATTAGGGATGTCGAAAGAGGAACCATTTGCACAGCATCGTGCAGCAACAGAACTTGCGATTCCACATCAAGACGCACTCGTGACGTTGAGCGACAAGGGACGACAACTCGATGACATGCATGACAATTTTGGAACTCGTGCACTTTGTGGAATATTGTGAAATATGTTGCACATTTGATTGAGGGAGATTGTGAGTCTTTCAATCAAGCGGCTTCCACCAAAGTGGATTGCCAGGCCGCCAGAAGGTGCCTCCAATGCCACGACCAGGTCACCACCCGCATGACAATGGAGGTCATTTAATGGAACAGCAAAGTCATCGAGTTCGCATTGGACGTGTGCATTCAGAAAGCGCAGTTGTGAGGTCGGGCTTCGAGGCCAGGACCAAGCGCACAGGATGAAGGCGATTCCTGAAGCCAACTGAAGTCCATAGGACGTACACACATAGTGGTGGCACAGATCCAAGGACATGTTACAATATTAAATTTGATGTATATAAATGCGCGGGATTGCAAATGGATGCAAATGGTACATTACATGTACATCATGTTCAACCATCTCAGAATCTCTCTCCTTGGGACTGACTGTCAAGAGCCGCTTTTTATTTTTTGTTGAGAACGTTTGCGTCGGCGGAGGTTTTCAAGAGATGGGTGAGTGTGACGATGCGGATGATTTTGATGAGCAAGAAGTTGGTTTCAAGGACACAAAAAAGATAATCTGTTGACTGGAGCGTTAATGAGATCCTTGGAAGCTCTTTGGAATGCGAGGGTTGTTTGCCCTAGCTTGCGCAGTTCCTTGGAACGTCAGCAAGCAAGCAATCAATTACTAGCTTTATGATTGATATCCATTCACTGGCTAATGCGGCCTTCTTGACTATACATCCTGTGGACAAGGAGCCTGCACCTGCTGCCGCCAGGCACCGGTGAATTTGTCGCTTATGGGGCCACATCAGTGCTTTTGGCTGTTCATTCCAACGCATTTAAGCTGTTGCTTCAAAACATTAGTGAGGACACTAGAGTGTAGAGCCAATCACCGTCTTCATTGTCTAGTTGAGGCCTGCGCCACGTGCCCGACGACAGACACCACCGGTAGATGATGGTTGGTGCACCCAGAGCCAAAAGTTAGATCTTTGAACTCAGAGGTGAGGACCAATGCGTTGCAACCGCGGTGCCGTGTGCTCTTCTCTACTTGTCTAAGAAAACGTAGAGAAGAAGCATGAAGAAGTCAGGAATCACCAATCAAGTGGTCGCGCAGAATGTTCACATGTCACTGTGGACATGTCACTGTGGCTGAAGTGCTGGCCAGACAATGCTCTCAGAAAGCAAGTTCTTTCGTCGTCAGATCAAGCCTGACGAGTCCATCCACAACGCTGAGATGTTCACAACAGATGCTTTGAGAATCCTGGAAAGGAGGTCAAAGTTAAAGTTGACAAAATCATTCGTACAAAGCTCAGTCTACACGTTCCACCACCGTCCACTGGGACTCTCTCCCACTGGAATTGAAGGCTTGGAGCCCTTTTGACCTTACCAGGCTAGCCTCTTCACCGAAAGCAGTTTGCACCATGTGTCAGATCTTGTGTATGACCATCATAATCAGGCTTTGCAAGCAGTCACAATGCTGCTTGGAAAAGTTAGCCAGTGCCATGGTGTTTCGGCATAGATCCTGGAACAGTAGTTGCTAAGTCAGTCTCTCACGGTGTTTCGTTTGCTGAGTCCTCGGGCGATGGACAGCTTCACACGGGCATGAGTGACTTAACGCGACCGTCATGTGTGTAAGAATGTCTATGTATGTTTGATGAATGTTTCTGTATTTGTAGGTGCTCTTTTCCACGCAGTCTCCAAATTGTCACGGGGGAGCAGCTAGATCCCCGCATATCCAAAAGGTGATTGAAATGGAAAGATGTCTTTCTTCATAGCCGCAAGTTCATCCCAATGCAGCATGGATCAAGCAGTGCGGGGTTGAATTGCATCGAGACCGTCAAGACTTGAAGTGTTTGCCCAGATATCCTCTATATACAAGGTGTTACATGCTTATTAGTGCTGATGGTTGTGTGCTTATTTACTTTTGGTCAGTGAGACCGTTGTGTTATCATGTGCTACAGTGGTTTCAGAGTAGATGGCACAGACCTCAAGAAGTTCTTTACCTGGGGGTTCATGTATATAAACCACCTCTTGGGGGTTGTGCCATCTACTCTCAATCCACTGTAATTGCGTTCATGTTTTGACCTTCAGGTTGGGGCGGCCAGTCCTTGGGTGATGCCTTGGCGCACAAGCAGGCGACGTGAAGGTTTCAACAGATGTCAACATTGCCACCTCCACTGTCCAACCTTTCTCCCCTTGAAGGTTTCAATGTTTGCAGTGTAGTTGAAATTTTTTAGCCTTGATCGCTATGCTCGCCTAAGTCTTGGACTTAAACCAGATTCCTTTGGATCCGGGCTTCTGTCAGGCAACTCCATCCGGTGGATCAACAGCTACAGGTGCACTAAAAGTAATCAAGCTTTGATTGATATTGTTTTTAACTTGTGCAGATCTCAGTCTGTTGCTAAAGCAGCAAGGACGCCGTTGGCCCTATAGTGCCATTCCAACCCTTAAAGTTTACCAGGTGCCGGTGGCAGCAGCAGCAGTAGCGTGCGCAGCGGAGGGCAAAAGTCTATTCCCTCCGGCGCGGGCAGTGCCATGGCTGGTTTAAAGGGAAACCTGATGGGTTGGCTTCGAAGGATCGATTCTGCGCGTTCAATTAACACTACTACGGGCTCCTGGCCTGCTACTAGTGGTCGGCTTAAGTCGTATCAACCCCTGGAAAGTCGTATCGGGAGGCTGTGCGCTAGGCAACAGCTGTGCGCTAGGCAACAGTGATGTGACTTAGCCACCATGCTCGTAGGAACAAGAAGCTACTAGGGACTCCTGGCCGTACTACTACGTAGGAGCAAGGACGCTACCGTAATCGCAAGCACATTCATGTCATGTCAACGATTGGCGCATCGTGCACAATCATGCATGTCAGCCAGCAACGTACATGGGTAATGTACACAGCTTCAAATGGTACTCAGATGGCAATGTTGAAACTAGGCTTGCAAACCCCCTTCAAGTTGCACGGGTTTAATCATTTTTCTGTATGCACTATGCTATGCACCACTTTGAACCTTGGCACCTCACCTTCTCACTTCAGCACCATTTGTGCAGTTGAAGTAGTTTGTTATTGTAGAGCTTCGCAGACCGGCGATGCCGGTTGGGTGCGTGTTCGCTATCGTGTTCAGTTTCTGATTCTGTTTTTTGCGGCTGTCCGTTGCATTTGTATTTCTTGCTTGGTCATTATGGTTGTTGTTCCTTTCGCATGCATCGTGCGCGCGGCGCAAAAAGAGACCAGGCAAAATCCCTCAGGCTGATGGTGGAGAGGCCTTTTTCAATGACCAAAAACACAATGTGTTTTGCTGCTCGAGGCTTCAAAAGTGAACCAAAGCCACGCTATTTGCGTAGTTTTTGGTGCTTTTACGCCAGGAAACCACGTAGTTACGGATGGCTTTGAGCTATCGAGTGCTCAAAGCCACAGTATTTACGAGGTTTTCTTGAAAAGCGCGATGTTTTCAGCACTTTTGCGCACCACGCCCCAAAAAACGTCAATGTTTAATGATATTTACGCCGTTTTTGCAACACTGCGACATATTTTTTCTAGATCGAAATGTGTGAAAGCACTGTAATTTGCAGTGTTTTGCACCTTGGCGCAAGCCGAAAAAAGGCTTCAAAGCTGTCCTTGTAAGGCCAAAATCCAGCTCCTTTCCAGATCCCAAATGCTTTGTATAACTTGCATACGTTCTTGCCGATTTTTTCGACCCCCCTGGTCCCCAGAAAAGGCCTCTCCTCCACCAGGCTCGGATTTTGCTACATTTATCGTTTTGCCGCTTTTGGAATCGCTCCAAGGGCAAAATCGGCTCGAAAGGCCGGCAAGAGCGCAATGTTTCACAAAACACAGTAAGGGGAAAAAATGGTGAAAGGATGATTCTGGGACGATTTTCGTTGGATGTTGCCTTATAGGATTTTAGGTTGGAGTTCAACATATCATCCTTGCCTTTGATGTTTTATGCCCTGTTTGTTCTAGGACTTTTGAGTCCCTAACTGTTCGTCTATCCTCATTCGTTATTTTTGGGGCAGATTTCCCTATGCTAGTCTTCTTCGTTTTCTCCTCTTGGGGTTTGTTCTCTTGGGTTGCTGTTCTGTTATTTGCGATGTTTGGGTTTATAGGTTGTAGTTATGCTATAGTTATAGGTTGTAAATTTTTATGGGTTGTAGTTATGTTGTGGTTTTAGGTTAGGTAGTGTCCGTTGAGATTTTGTTGATGTTTGATACTTTGTTCGTGTCTTCGCATAGCATATTCTCTAACAAAACATTTACACACAGGACATTCATACTTTTCATTTTGTTTTTCGTTTAGCTCTTTTTTGTTGTTTTGGTAGTATTCCTTTGCTTTGGGCTTTATTTCCTCCCTATGTTTTTCTCTATAGCGTCTTCGTTGTTCAAGACATATATTACAGTTTTTGTTGTTGCCTTCTATCTGGTGTAGTGGTCTAAAGACTTTACATTTTGAACATTGCTTTGTTTCAGACATCTGTCTATAATGATAAAACGATGTTTATCTTTAGATGGTTTTAAGGGACTTAAGTCTTTATAACTTTTTGTAGGTGCTCTTCTATTTCTTTTTGTTGATGTATTGCTCATAGTCTATAAAAAGTTCTCTGAGGTTCCAAGATGTCTAAAATAGAAAAAACCCTTCAAGGTCAGGAAACCACCATATTCGTATCTTTTTCATATAGGTCATCATATCAAGGTCATGAATGTTAAAAAGGATATGATGAGTATATTTAAAGTTCTTTTTACATATGATTTGATTGCCTGTAGAAACATCTTATCGCGCTGAAACAACTGCTTCAATCGTAAAGTGTCCATCAAGACGTCAATCTCCCTTCTCATCTGTCTCACGTTTGTTCTGTTAGTCTGACTTATAAAGATGGGTGACGTCATCTCTGTTTGGAAGAAGTCTATTTGCTGTTCCACTTTTGTATATCTATTGATGGCATATCTGTCGTATTCGTTCTCCTTGAAGAGTAATTCATTACATTTTAAACAGTGGAGGTTGTAATCACATATCATATCACAAATGCCGGCGGGGAAGATGTTGTTCAGTAAAACCTTGATGTTGGAACTTTGATTTTTACAACCCATACACCTCTCATAATTAAAAATCATCTCTTAATATATATAGTATTTTTTCTTTAAGTAGTTTTTGGCGGCTTGTTCATTTTTCGGGCTCTGGTTGAAATGTTCATTTTACAACATAATCATTGAAATCTAAATACTATAATAGTGGCAGGACGACTTACGAAAGAAGAAACAATAAGCAATGTCTATTACAATCTTGAAGAGGGCTTCGGGAGCATTCAAGAAACATATAAGAAGGCAAAGGCAAAAGACCCGTCCATAAGCTTAGACGATGTTAGGAACTTTATGAGGAAGCAACCCAACAAACAAATCAAGGGTCACAGAGGTTATAATTCCTACACAGCGCCCTTCGCGAGGTTTGAATACCAGATAGATATAATGGTTATGGCGCCACTTTCAAAAGACCCAGAGGTTAGCATCAAGGTTACTAAAGCGGAGCCCAGATACGCGTTAGTGGTGATAGACATCTTTAGCAAGTATGCCGATGTAATACCTATGGAGGAGAACAACAGTAAGAGCGTTCTAAGCGCTTTGAAGCAAGCATTCAAGAAGATGGGTTATCCAATGTCTATATATTCGGATAATGACGGTGCCTTTCAATCAGTGGTCAAAGAGTTTTTTGATGCCGAGGGGATAGAACACATCATCACTCAAACACACGCCAATGTGGCAGAAAGGTTCATAAGAACGATGCAGAGTATGATACACGACAGGGTGAGGTTTAACAAGGCAAGATGGACAACGATGCTGACACCCGCACTCAACAAATACAACAGCGCCAAACACTCATCAACGAAGATGACACCCAAGGAAGCCCACAACGACGACAACAATATGAAGGTGAGAGTGAATTTAACACTGAAAGAGAGCAACAAAAGAAAGTATCCCACCATAAGCGTAGGGGATATGGTAAAATACATTCATAAGAAGAAGGGGAACTACACCGACAGGAAAGAGTATGTAACGAAGTGGTCTAAGGAAAGTTATAAGGTTAAGGAAATAAAGTATGATATGATGGGTAACAGGACTTACAAACTGGAAGGGCTACAAAAACCATACTTGCGACACGAGCTGTTATTGGTTTAAGGACACGAATATCTCCTTAATCAAACCTTCGGGGATGACATACAACTCGCTCTGCTTGAACAATAGTTGGTTTTCTTTCCAGGTGTCCTTCTTACCGCTTGGCATCCGTTGCGCCGTTTGTTTATGCTTGTTGCCTTCCATCTGACCGCAGTCTTTTATACATAACGGTTTAGGTGTCCATATACCGTTTGTCCAGTCCGTGCTCTTCCTCCCAGCAAAAGAACAATGTGCTAATAATGCAAGGCCACTCGGGCAGCATATCTCGCACCACGTGCCTTCGAAGACGACCTCGCATCCATCGCCAGATCCATGTTGCCACATGTTGGCCCATGTTATGTCATCCTCTCCGTACGTTGGCCTCTGTTTTCCGGCTTGTTGGCCTATGCTGCCAGGGTGACTGCGGGGGAGGTCGACCGGAATCGGTCGGCGCGACCGTTAGTTACCTTCAGTGACCACCGAAGGCCTCCGGGTAGGGCACGGGCCCGGCGGGCCGGTGCCCGGATTTAAGGGGCTACCGCCCGCGACCACCGACCCCAGAGCTATGGGCTATCCGCACGCCATTGAATATTTAGTCCGCGCGGGTGCCAAGTGGGGCTCTGGTGCGTGGTATGCCACCCAGGTTTCGCATGGTGCCGCGCGCTCCTTATCTTCGTCTTGGCACCACGCACACAAGACTGGGTCCGGCGCACGTGCAACACCGGGTCCGGGGTCCAGGCTGGAGGGGGGAGTCGAACCGAGACCCCAGCCTGGACACCGCATGTACCAAGAAAGAAATCCTGACGGTCCCTCCCCACTCCTCAAAAAAAAAAAGCGCAATGTCCAAAATTTGTCAAAAATCCATCAATTTCTCGCAAAGCGATGGTTGATTACCAAGCCCCAGGAGCCAGGACCATACCAAAACCGAACTAACTCTCAGGAACACGCCGTCCCCGTCCGCGCATGCAGTGGTGGATGAAGGATAGAGTGGGCAAGAGCCTCGAGAGCAAGTGTGCTTATCACTTCTGCGAGGGGCATCAGAATAGACTGCCCAGTCACACGAATCTTGACCGAAAGGAAGAATTTCATGGTGCAGGCAAAGCCGAGGCAGTGGGTGATGAGGAGAGTGAAGAAGATGCTGGCTCCGTGGAAGAAAGCTGGGGCGAGGGGCTGAAGGCGATGAAGTGGGGAGACACGAGAAGAAGGGTTCACCCAAGGAGTTTGGTGTCAAACCCAAAAAAGAAATAGTCTAAAAAGAAGGAATTCAGAGGCGGCAAAGCCTCGGGGTTGAAGGCAGAGAAGGACAAGACAAAGGAGAAGAAGCGCAAGAAGTCATCCTCCTCAGGAGAAATGAAGGAGGAGAAGACGGCTGAGAGTGTAAAGAAGAAGGAAGCCAAGGAGGCAAAGGACAAGCGGAAGCGGATCTCTGATTCCTCAATTGAGTCAGAAGATGAAGATAAAGAAGGGCTTTCTGGAGAGGCAGCGGATTCAGCCAAGGCAAAGGCCAGAAAGGGGTCAGAAAGACCGGTGGAGACATTGCCCGGTTTCCCGATGAGTCCAGCAGCGATTCCGAGACAATTTTCGCGATGCTCCCCCACCACAAAAGACATCAAATCAGCTCACGCTGAGAAACCGTTCAAAGACTCTGCGAGGCGATGACTTGCCACCCATCAACCCATCAATGCAGTCGCGGTGGTGGCATACCTGAAGCAGAAGGACCCGAAGATTGCGGAAGGAGTGGCTGGCCTGTTGTACAGTCAAGGCTCTTTTTCAACTGGAGTTGACAAGGGCACAGAAGCTAACCGTGGAGCATTTGTGCATGGCATTGCGCTACTGAGGCTGCGGGGCTGCTGTGAGAAATTGAAGAAGCAGCCCAGAAGTTGGCAGTGGCTCATTTCAACTATCAAGGTGAACCTGTGATGCGTACGGCGTACGGAAGACATTGTACCAGAAAAGGTCATAGCACGTGGCCACAAGTGGGCCACACACCTGGGCAGGGAAGTCAAGAACCCGAATGTTATGTTTAACCTGTATAGGATTGGCCGGAGTCGCCACATCAATCCAAAGACACGGAGGTCAAAAGTAGTGAAGGCCGCCTATGAGAGAGGCTCAATGGTTGCTGTAGGCCCGAGAACGTGCTCAAGGATCACCAGGGTCACCGGGCGCTCAACGCGCCGGCGCAGTAAAGAAGGAGAAGAAGGCGGGTGGCAAGATCCATAGATTGCAACGGTTCATAAGGACAAGCTGCTCCCGTGTTTGTGGCAGCTGACATTGTTGGAGCAAGAGGAAGAGGAGGCCTGGTTGATTGACTCTGAAGACTTTACAAGTCGCTTCAGCATGTTCTACTCATGCGCCTGTATAAATACATGGCCTTTGGAAAGATGGTGGATGCTTCACTGTCACTGTTAGGTGGAGAGGCCGGAAAGCAGGTCCACCCCACAATGGCGGCGTTGCCCATGGGATGGGTTAGCAGCGTAGCAGCGATACAGAGAATTGTGTGCACCTTGGTGTTCAAGCAAGGTTGCACTGCAGGTTACGGCGGACCGACTTGGGGCTGTCGAAAGCCCCACATAGCAACCTTGAGGTGAACCAGAAAGTGTGCTTGCTTGCTCACTGGAGCGGAGGGTAGACATATACATACACGTTGCATAAGTCTGCACTTGGGTGTACCAGCGCACATTGAAATTACAAACTGATGGATCGGAGTACCGGCGTCACTTTTCCAAATGTTTTTGGTGTAAATGTGCAATATGACTGACGCCATGAAATCCCATGTGATCGGGAAAAAACACGATCGTAGCAACTCCCTGGGACGGAGTGGTTGCGCAGCTAAGGTGCTGATCCCGGCAAATCCCCCGAGTGGATCATGAATTGGGCATTTCAGCAGCACGATTGGAAGCTTGAACTTCGCAGAAGCGCTTGGAAGTGCACGTTCACAAATCTCAGGTCCGTTCTTTGCCAGAGTCCCACGTGCCAGAGAGGACTCGTGAACATTTGGCAGACCTCATCGCGGTCTGCTCCCTATTTGAAGGTCAACATTCTATGCACATGGAGACTGAAGCAGTTGTGCAATTACATGAACCCAACCTTTGTTCCACGTAAGGAGAGTCAAATGGACGGGCGATTTTTCTCTGACTATGCTGCCCAGCAGCACTCAGATTCCGAAGTAGTGAGAAGGTGCCAGTTTGCAGAAATCACCTCCCACCGTTGCTTTGGCATGTATAGGCGTTTGTGTTTGCAAGGACGAATCAAACTCCTTCGCCGAGTGATTTGTGCTGGACCACCCAGCCCCCTCAAGATGACTCTGACATGGCCACCCTGAGTGGTGAAAGAATAGTTTCTGGCTACTGTAGGTAGTTTCGGGGTGGGCTGTCGTTGGGTGCGTTTTTCGTGTTATTTTAAACCCAGTTGACTGGTTATTTAGTAGTTTTCAAGTTTGTGTGGGGTATGGTAAGTTTTCGGAGTTAGATTCCAACTTAGACAATATCACCCGAGGCTGCGATGTCAGCAAATTTTTTAATTACGGGGTGCACACAGTACTTTGAGCCTAAGAGCTCAAGATGTTGACTGTTTGTGTGGATTTGTTGGTGGGTGGTTGGGGGTTGCTCAATTTCCACAATTTGAAGAGCAGCTTAAACTTTAGACGGTACCAGTTTGAGTCCGCTGCTAACATAGCTAGGTTTTTGGCCGCTCGCCCCCAGAGATGCCAAAACCACAATTTATCGAGCGTGATCAACATCGCACTAATCCAAGCAACGTCGCACTAATCCAAGCAACGACCAACCTGGCTAAAACATGCTAAAACCAGTATCATGGCTGTTGCTGAGTGGCTTTGTCAAAGGTTCAGAAGGTGCCACCGGAGGCTGGGATTGCTTGATGGCCCAAGACTATGCAGTAAATGTTCTGACATGCTCAGTTTGTTGTGTAGAGCTTGCAAGGTGTGTGCTCCAAAGCATGCCATGAAGCTCAAGGCTGGACCGAAGAAGCTGTGACAGAAGTGGCTAGTTGCATTACAAAAGTGTTTATATAGAATTGCTTGGAACTGTCAACATGATCCTGGCAGGCTGCGTGGTCTAACGTCCTCAAAGAGGCAGAAGTTGCAGAGGTATGCCTCCTAAATTCGAAGCGAAGTCAATTAAATGGGTCAAATGCATGCAATCCTTCGTATATTCAGTGGGTCTTGCCGCAAGCCATCATAATTTTTGCTCTTTCGCTCAGATGGCAGCTGCTTGCGCCGTGCGGCCAACACAGAAGGCAGATGTGAAGGGGACAATTTGCAGGTTAGCAAGGGCCAGCCGACAATAGCGACGCAAGTGATTTTGCTGTTAGCCATGACACGCAGAAGAAAACGGACCGTGTATAAACTAGTTCGACACCAAAGTTGGGCCAAAATACGATGCCTGTGCTTCCTGCCTGTCTCCTGAATAGTTTATTCTTGCTCACCCGCTTGTGCTCTTCCAATTCTTTGCTGATCCGTTCGAGGTCAAAGCAAGACGTACGAATCTCTTGTCAACGTACTGCCATGAGCATATCAAAACATATTGCAAATTCTTTTCACAGTTGTACTCCGTGTTGCTTCCTTGCAGGGAATGTTGGTTGCTGTTTGAGCTCTAGTTGAAGCAGACCTTCTATGGAGGCTGGCTGAGGGCTGGGGAAGACTGCTGATAGCCCTACATGACAAAGGACTCTTTGGATCAGCAAAAGATACTTCTACATGCGATGCTCACAATGTGTTGCATGAGGTTCATAGGGAGTCACTGGCAGCTGCTGATGGGGAAATCGCACTGCTTGCATCTAGGCTGCAAAAATCATGTCAGTTGCTTCGCATGAAGTCGAATCAGGCTTGGCATACAAAAACATGGTGGTTGATGTTTAACTATACCTTTTTTCAGCCCGGACATCCAGATTAAGGCATCCTGCTCTCCAGTGATACCGAGTGACAGTCAACGCTGCTAGACTTTGTCCAATATTGTTTTGCTTCGGCTGCTGGCTTTCAGGACCAAACACTTGTGTTGATGAAGCTAACATTTGCAATGAGGATCAACAGTGTTTGTACACTATGCAGCGAAGGAGTTCCATTGGAACTCCCTTTTGTCCTATATGCCTTTGGGATTGGTGAAGGCCAAGGAATGTGTCTAGTACAGCCCCAAGGCGAGACTTCTTCGAAATCATTCAATCCATGCTGTGTAGCGTTGAGTGGACGAGTATTTACCTAAAAGGCATACCACCAAAGATGCTTGCTCGCAGTGGAAATGACACCTGTCCTTTCGGGCACCCTTTGTAGCGACGCGACTGCACAAGCCTGTGATTGCACCATGTACAAGCATGGATACCGTTGTTACCCAGCCCTCCCAAGTCGAAGCTTTGAAGGTGATTATTTAGAACATGGACCACATACGTTGCATTACAGTACACCTTCTGCAACTTGCTGAAGGGAGAGGGTAACAATGATTGAGGCTCCATTCAATTGATGGATGCTACGTGGGTAAGGAATTGTCAGAAAGGAATGCTAAGCCAAAACGTAGTAGAAGTAGTTTTTTGCAGCAAATCTGGAACTGTATAATACTAGTCCCATCTCCATGCATCTCTATGCAAGGATTAGTGATTCGATCTCCCTCAAGCATTAGTAGCACCGAATGAGCGATCAAGCTCGCACTTCTTTCTTCGATCAAGAAAAGGGCTGTCACATGTTCAAATGTACACAACTTCACATCAAATGCTTGAAACGCCTCAAGCCAAACGAAATTGGGGATTCCGCTCTCCCCTTCCTGGAGCTTTCAGGAACATTGGAATCCCAAAAGCATACATTGTGCATCTTTTGCACCTTCATCGAAAAATTTCACATTCAAAAAGACACTTTTCATGTCTCAGCTCAAGCCCCATCTTTCCATCACTCATTCTTCTCAGGAGCCAACGACCAGGCCACTGAGGAAAAAAAGCACTTCGCACACCATGCCACATTCACCCTCTTTGAATCCAGCACCAAACGACGCTTCGTGCCTTTCCAAGAGCCCAACACGCTTCCTGAGATTGTGCCTTGTGTCTTCGGGTCGTACATTCAGACTCTAGCATGAGCCCGTGCCAGCAACATCCCTCCCAACTTCCGTGACTCTAAGCAGGATGCTGTAGCCGAACCACCTCTGTTGGAGGTAATGCATGCTGTGGCTGCCCTTTCGCAGGTCTGAACGGATCATCTTCCTTCCATCTTCCAGCCAGGCAATCGTGATCACACCAGCGCCCAAACCAGAAGCTGCAGGAGAGACTGACATATCGCTGTCGAACAACTTCTTCCTCCAAGCGCAGTGACCATGGATCTTGAGAATCACCAACGCCCGAGGAAAATGCACCATCACCTCTTGAGGTCTGTCGTTCACCGGCATGTTGGCCACAATACGAAGCACACTTTCTGCCAGCAACCAGGAAGCAAACTGAAGTTCCGCCCCCACCAGCCTCTCAAGGAACGTCTGCATCGTCTCTCCCCCTCTGGAAGTAAAATGAAGTAAACGTCTCAAAGAATAGGCTGTCTGGAAGGGTCCTCGATGTCTCAACCCTCCCACTTTCACGAGCATGTACAAACACCCCGCTCTCCCTCATAGGACCATCTGGCCGAGGTTGACCCCGATCATGAAGTCCCCCTGCTGGTAATAGATCTTCTACTGGATGAAGAGACTCACCTTGTGTCCTCACGGACCGGATTGCCGCATCTGAGCTCCCAAACCCACCAGCTAACTTCTCGAAGCAATGCGTCCATAGCAACTTTTGGGAATCTCAATGGCCACACCGGTAGAGATCAACCATCGAGCACCGGGTGGAACTTGACATGCCATTGAAGTCGATAAATCCCAGCCAGCCGCATGCTCCGACCCCTTTTTTGGGACCGTGGCCTCCTCACTCAACAACTTCACCTTCACTTCCTCCTTGCCCGACATCATCTTCTTGATCATGCCAATGCCCACATCCTTGACCACATGAAGAAGACATACAAGGCCTGCAAGGAACAAGAACCAACCCAGGTCTCCGATCACATTGGCTGGCGACTCCTTTGTCTCAACCTCCTTCTCGCACACCTCACTGGCAACGGCTTGAGGAAGCATTGATGCACCAGCTAACATCACCGCCTTGCACCTGGACAACTTGGCCTCCCCTCCATGCGACAGAACAGTTCGTTCCCCTTCACCGGCTCCATGTCCATGGCAAAGAAAAACACCCTTGCAGAACCTCTCCAGTGACTGTGCGGGAAGCGACTTGGTTAAGGCATCTGCCCACAAGGAAGTTCCAACTCTGTGAGATAAAGTAAGCTCGCCTTTTGACACAGCTTCAGCCAAGCAGCTCGCTCGAATGTGAAGATGGCGAGTCCTCCAACCTCCTCCAGAGCCAGTAATTAGCCAGCACCCTAAGTGCACATCATCCAACAAGAGCTCTGCCAAGGCCCGGACGGATCGACCAGCTTGCAAGCCTTCAACCAGCGCCGTTGGTTCTGCCTCTGCCGTTGACAAAGCCATGAGGCTCTGTTTCTTGCTCTCCCACTGAACTGGACAACCAGCAAGAAGGATCACCGTGCCAGAAATGCTATGACTATCCCGCGGACTGAACGAGGCATCAACAAGGACCTCCAGTGTGCCATTCCTTCTTGGACGAAGTCGAGCCAAATCAGGATCAGAATCGACGGGCACATGAAGTGGGTAGTGGAGACCAAAATCAACTGTGGCCCTCACATAGGCAAGCACCGCTTCTCCCAACTCCATAGTCCATGAAGGCCGCTTCACTGCCACTGGGACATCTTCATGACCGCCCATGCAATGTCCGGACGTGTCTTTCCAGAAAGCCACAACAGCTCGCCGGTGATCTTCTGCGCTTGTCGCACCCTGGTCAACGAAAGGACCTCCTCTTCTTTCTCCTCCGGGACCCTGATGAACGCAGCAACTCCTCCTCCTCCAGCGTGTCTCTCCAAGACTTCGCGCACATAGCTTCCTTGATGCAGGTAATATGTGCCATCTGTCAAGCGCTGGATCTCAATGCCGAGGAACCTCATAGGAGCACCACCTGGGATCGAGTACTCCGGATTTGATGTTCTCCACACCCTTTGGACCATACTGGAGGCCGAGTCTGTGACTTCCTTTGTTGCCACCATCAACACGTCATCCACATAAACAATCATATAGCCCAACACCGTTCCCCACTCCCTGGTAGAAGACGATGAGGCCGATGAAGTCTCTTGTATGGCCCACAAATTAGCATCCTTCAACGGTCGAAAGCCAAACTTCCTCTCCTCCAGAACCCCATCCTCCATCTGCACGGTGACCACGCCCTCCATCTTTTGCAGCTCAGCATCTCTATACACGCTCCAATCTTTTGGGGACGTAACCAACCCGTACATCGCCGAGGTGATGACCCAATGCTCATCTGGTTTGGCCAGCTGGGCATCAACGAGGATCCTTGGAGGTTTGACAATAACCAACTCTCCTTGAGCTTTGGGCGCAAGCAAGAAAGCAGATTTCACATCCAGTGACAAACAATGCCAGTTCTGAAGCGAGGCCACACGAAGCATAGCACGAAGTTGTGTGGAGTCGCGTAGACCTCCTCCCCCGACCTCGACTCCATATAGTTCCCACAACACACGATGCGAGCCCGTCGTCTGCCATCACCTGCTTTCCTTGTGAACACTCCCATCCCGGGAATGATCTCTGCCCGTTGCCCCTTCTCCTCCGCCTCTCGCACCAGACCCATGGCTTCCTCCTCCGACACTCTCTGGATAGCCTGGTTGGAGTCGAAGTTGTCGATTTCCTCCTTCAACGGAGGAATCCAAAGTGGCAACGTCTTGCGCACCTCATTGAGGGCAATGGTCCTCGTCTGCAGAAAGGTCTCTTCGCCCTCGGCCTCCGATACCACAGCTTCAACTTCCAAACGCTTCACAACTGCTTCAGATTCTTGCAAGAAGTCCTCCTTTAGGGCATTCTCAGAGTCCATGTCCGCCACAATCGAGATGTTGCCGTCTTCTGCCATCTGAGATTCCAGCTTCTTGAACTCTTCATTGGCCCACTCTTGCCCCCTCATCAGGCGACGTTGAATCTCACCTCCCCCAATCCTGGCCAGGGATGTCTTCTCTGTGAGTCTTCGTCTAGGCTTCACAGTCCTGTCCAGAAGATCGGCTGGTTGATCACGAACTGCCAACTCCACCACATCCTTGGTTTCAAAGCTGTCCACCGGAACCATATCATCAGTTCGAATGAAGTTCCCGTTCTCAACCTCCACCAAATGTCCACCACTAGTGAGGCTCATATCAGGATCTGGACCTCTCACAACACCCGGTTTCTTCCTGGCCCTCCAATGCCCTTGGAAGTCATCCCAGCCTTTTGTGGTGATCATAACACGCTGCCCCCATGGAAGGAGTTGAGGAGTGACGAAGCCGAGCGAAGCCAATTGTTGACGCCCTCGACGTTCACCAACATGTTTCGCCATCAGGGGCCAATAGTCCTCACCATCTCCAGACGACCGAATGAGGGTATTGATGGCTCTTCTGATCACCCCAATCTCAGCTTCCGCCCTTCCGTTGGCCTTCCAGTCACTGCCGCAAGTGAAAGTCCTGTACAGGCCACAATCTTGACAC